TGTCTTGTAACTTTCAGCTAGAGTTACACACCAAGGTTAATTTTTTTGGTAATGTAAGGACATTAGCAAAGCAAAGGTGCCGTAAATGTATCAACATGCTTCCTATCACATTCCATGGTAATGTAACACCGTTAAAGTGAAGATCTGCATCAACATAGACTATACTTACACTTACTTCTATATACAAGGTAGTTGGTAACTGGTGGTATACGCGGGAAGGGGGTGATCCTTTTTTTTTAAATTTTTCCATTGAGACAACTATCTATTGCGAGATCCGTTATAACGTACCGCACGCGTCCCGAGCGAAAATTCAAAGTCGATTTTCTCGAAAACAGAGCCTCAAACGAAAAATTTTTATTCTATATTTTCGACTTCTTTTTTCGCGTAGAATCACCCGCTTTCCGCTTGTCCCACCAGTTACCAACCACCCTGTATATTTCTATTACAAATTCATCCACGCGTTCCTCCTTATCTAATAAGATAACATCAACAGGATCGAAGCGTTTCCCTGAGCAATTATCTCGAAAGCACAAGATCAACGTATCGATGCACCGTTATATATGCATATAATTAGATACAAGAAAAAATGTCAAAAAATTCAAATCACAGACACGCTGATTATTTTGCCTATAGAAAGCAAAGAGACTCGACACAATGACGTCTGAACGCAAGCGCTTGCTCTGCCGACACCGCAAAGCCTCTTAAATTCCAAAACCATTTTTTATCACGATGTCATAACACAAAGCAACGCCCCTCTTGGTTGAAGAGGCGCAAGATCGCGGCGCATCCCATACGAAGGGTGCAGCCAGGCAACGCTTAATGGCGCAAATCGTCGAACAAAAGTCCCATCGAATGGATCGTTTTCACGCTGTCGTTAACGTGATCGAGCCGTCTGAGGCCGCGAGACTAATAGGAAACGTGTCGTCGATGAGGTAACGTTGCAGAACGCCAGAACGACGTCGAGATGACGAGGCCGATAACGACATCGAACAAACAATGCGAACCAGCCATCGTCTTCTCTCTTTTTATTCTTCCCCCTCGTAAGGCTCTGTATACGTAACTACTCGCTCGCCTAAACGCCAAGTTAATCAGCTGACCCCAATTAAACGATAGCCATCGGCCAGACCAGGCGAGACGCAACGGTTGCGTCGTCGATAAATGTTAATGAACCGTGCACGTAATAGCGTGGAGAATAATAACCGGGGGAAAACGCGGCCATTAACGACGCCTTTGTTCCACCTACGATTCTACCGATTATCCTACCGGTCGCGTTAATATCGTAACGGTGCTCCAGCGCCAATTACAGTACAGTTTAATTGCGAGTAACCGTAAACCCTGCTGACCAAGTTGTTCGCAAGATGACGTTAGATGGAGGTGATGGTTTTGCAGAAATTGTTATTTACGAGAGGACTGCGCGTTCACGACTCTGTATTAAGATGTTATTTGCGTTTCACTTGCAAAATACGAATCACGATTACGAATATTCATTGACACTTCACGATCTACAAATTCTGCTAATGCTACTAAAGAAACATTAGCCAAGCCGGAGTGTTCGTCGAGTGTGGTACTTTCGAGTTTCAACGTCCCGCTCAGTAACATCATCCCGGGAACCATCGAAATATGTTATAAAGAGGCTACGATCGACTCGTAATTTACGCCGGTGTCAAGTGGCTAATTCATTTAATTAGGCGCGCGTAAATCAAGCGGAGCGTAGAAGCTGGTAATCGGGGCGAGTGATCAGCTCGCCTCGAGAGGCCATCCTCAGCCATGACGAAAGAAAGCGAACGGATCGAGAAAAGGAAGAAAAGACGCAACAACGACGACGACGAAGACAACGAATCGTTCGCGCTCTCGCGGCTTTATCGCGAGTAAGTAAGTACTCGTGGTAATTAATGGCGGATCGGCCGATCCAATTTCTTTCTTCGATCTTCGAGCAGAAAAATCGCTCTGGCGATAATTGCGAGAACCGCATCGATCGCTCGCGTAACGCGGTTAATCGTTTCCAATTCAAACGACTAATCCCCCGCGCTTCGGTTCGTCCTTTTCCCGTAAGAGGATTTGCATAATTGGCCACCGGTGGCCATTTCGCGTAGATACGCGCCAGCCATTCGACGAACGAACAGGTAGCGAGAGGAGTTCCCTTGAGAAATGCCAATTCCAATTAACTATCGATTATTAGGCCCGCGCCAGCCCTATCGAACGGATTACGCCTGTCCCGTTCAGAGAACCTTGATAAATGCTCGCGACGGGACGCTACCATTCCTCGTCTACCTTTTTCGATCGGTGATTCGTTGGTTGCGACTGGAACAGAGAAGAGAGCATTTCGAAGATGCTGGGCTTAGCGAGAAGAGTTTTCGTATTTACGTGGTCGAGCAAGATGCAAGTGATCGAGTATGCTTGACTCTGTGTACATTTGTTTGACGAAGGAGGATTTGGATATTCCTGTTTCTGAAGTTTCGTTAAGTTTCTATATTTACAATCTCGTTGTCGTTCGACCGTGGACGTTTATGGAGATTAACGTTTTCGTGGATAAAAAAAAATAGAACCTACATAGAAGATTGTTTTACCTGTGAAACGCTATAAAGAGCGCCGTACTTTGAACATCTTATACGTATATTTTCGCATGTTCTATACACAGAAAGTCCGCCGTCCACTAAATCGTCTACTTAGCTCGAATACATTTTTTTATCTACTCGGAGAGAAATTTGATCGGAAGAAGTTTGACAAAGCAAGATAATTAGAATTTTTGTAAATAAATTATAAATAAAACGGGGGAAAGGTTGTTGGCAACGATGTACGAAGCGCCAGCAACGTCTGGATGATTCCGACCTGTTAGCCCAATTTCGCATTCCATCTCAAGGACGCCCAGAACGACTCGACGAAGAACAGGGCGAGAAAGGGAGAGACACGCATTCGCCGTACGTAGCGCATTATCTTTTCGCATTTTTCGACCGAGATTATTCTCGAAACGAATGGCCCTCTTAAGGCTCGCGACCGAACCATTAATCTGGCTTCGGTGATGGCCAAGTTGTCGGGCGCGCGCGCAAATCGGCCATTGCGAATCCTTTAGCACCGTATCGTAATGCCATCCCCCATCAAACGTCGTTATTTTAATTTCGTTTTCGCGTGTCGTGGCGCCGATAATAAACTACGGACCGCCTTGGTATCCAGTTAAAAGTTCGATCCTCCTCGACCAAAGGAAAGTGACAATCTCTGTATGGCAATACATTATCGAATGCATAATATGGTAACGTGAGTCCTTAAGATCGATGTTGTTGAGGATACTTAACGTCGGTTCGTCGAGGACTCTTTGTCGAGATCGATAATACGCCACGAGATGATAATTTTATTTTTAGATCGAGATCAGCAATCGTTGTATGGGAAAATAATATCGAGACGGAGACCTTGAACGATGGGATAAGATTGGTTCAGGTAGAAAGCTGCTGATATTATTATTTTCCCTTTTTTGGTCAGTCAGTCGACTTTGTTTTGAAAGCAACAATTACAAAGTGGCGAAATTTTTAAATCGATACGCGTTTCGCAAGAAACAATTAATTTTAAAAAAACAGCTCGAATCGACTGGTGAAAAACTTTGATAAAATATCTGATAATTTCTGATCGACGATGAAATTCGATTCGATAATTAGAAAAATCTCCGGCTATGTTATACTGGAATTCCATAATTTTCATCGACGTATATGTCTCGATCAGTGAACGCGTAAGAACACGTCTAAATTTACAATTTAGCCATTCAGAAACATTTGCAAAAAGACTTCCGACGTATCTGTCAGGTAAAGTACAATGTCCATACCGTTAAAGAAAACCGCGGAAGACACAGTTTACGGTCTTTACTCAGCCATCAGTCCGGGTTTAAATCAATTCTGACGGTTTCCAACGTAACCACGGCCATCGACGTCAAAGAGGAAGAGTCCAGCAGCGAGATTCGCGTCTGTTCCGGCGTCCACGTCGGCCTAGACGATGTCGATGGTATTGATGGTGCTGACGATGGCCGTGCTTGGCCGCTAACTACAATTGACTCCGACCTCTGCTGCTCCTAGACTCCGAGGGAGCCGCTTCAAGGGGCAGCTTTTGATTCACTGCCTGCCATAATGTTCCAAGCCTGACAGTTCACGATTCCTCAACGATGATAACCGTCCGCTATTCGCGCCGCGCCGCTTTGTACGCTCTGGAATATCGCCTCTTTGCGTTAGAATTCGCAGTAATATTGCCGTGACTTGCATTTCCCATTTTTTGATAACTCGATTGCGTTCAGTTAGTTAGGTCGAACGAACGAAATATTTGGAAGTTTTGGAAGTTTGGTAATTTAATACACTTCGTATATCAGGCTTTGGAAATTTTTTCAGCAACTAAAAGAAGTATTTTGAGGGAATTTAATTAACGATTTCGACGGTAGAAATTGTCACAACGAAGGATAGAAATATTTTGGGGAAGAATAATTCGTTCGAATCGAAACTTCGTTTGGTTACGAGAAAAAGATTAGAAAAAAATGGATTAGAATTTTTCGCTTTAATCCAAGTATGGCCATTATCCTTGCAGAAGGACGACCGCATAGTAATTTGCAAGAATTACAGAGTTAAATAGCGGGGAGAATATTTAAAGAGTGTCTAAATCAATGGACTTTCACTCTCGACATGGCTGCACAATGAGTTTCCTTTTTGAATGATACGCATCTGAACGTCCTTCGTATATCGAGCACAAAGAGCCATTATGATCGTGATAAAGGAACGCAGAGAACGTTCATTCCGGTTATGACCGTTCGAGTGTTAAAGAAAGACCGGTGTTTCGTGTTGTTAACGCGTTCGAGTGGTACGCTGAACGTTTCGTTAGTGGAACGATCATTTTCGCTGGATGAAACCGTATCGGGACGCTAAACGGATCTGTCAGTGGCAAAGTGGATTTCGACAACGCATCGATTGGCCGTTTGCAACGAGTGTATCGAATCGAGAATTTGCGTTAAACGATAATTTAACGATACTCACGTGCTCGTCCACCGAGTACGTCAGCTCTCCATCGTCGTACAAAACGAACCATCTTCTCTGCCATCTCTGAAAAATAAATTAAAAAGGATTTATCAGTGATATATTTCGCGAACAAAAATGCGATGTTTGTTTAAAATATTTACGACGAGTTCTGCGAAATTAATAATTCTTCTAATAACTTTGCAGAACTACGTACCATCTATGTAATAATACAAGACAGAAATTTGATTATTTCAAGAATATATGATAAAAAATTCGGCAAAATTGATCGTTTTTCAGATTATTTTATATATCACGGTGTATCTTCAACGCGAGTAGTTTTAGAAACTTGAAAACTTGTTAAAAGGAACGATTAGTCCGGAACAAGGGACGAAGAACGCGAAGAATTCACTTTCGATGACACCCGGTCGTTTTCGTGGAAACGCTTATTGCATCAAGTGAAAAGAATTCCACTGAAAGCGAGGCTGGACTTGTCCAACTTACATGCAGGAATCTCTAAGTCTCTGGACGTGGCAGCTGGACAATTAGCACGCTGCGGTCGTTAATTAGGAACGAAGCTTAAGAAAAGAAGCCGTACAGCGTCAGCCCGTCATTCGTCGCGAGCTTCCCTCTATTTTGTTAACTTGCCAGGTTCTTCGCGTCACTGTCAATCCACGTTTCTCAAATTGAAGGAAAATATGAAAGGATCGTAATCGAGAAATCGCCTTCGTTGGTCAAAGCTAAAGCGAGATTAGACCCAGAAAAATCCAACAACTCCGGCTACTTCGTCCAGACGCTTGAAAATTTTCGCACTTCACCGACGCTCAGTTTCACTTTCGATTATCGCGTTAACAGTTCACTGCGATCGCCCACACTGATCACCTTGAGGTGGATAGTAGGGTCGGTGACAGTGCTGCTGCTGGTACATGATTTTTATCTTCATCCGGGTTGCCTTCTTCTCAGTTAGGAATCGTGGAGAAAAAATCGGACTACGAGTGTCAGGATTTGAACCTGGTCTGAAACGGCGCTAACCACTGCTCTGCCGTCGTCCGGTCATAGTTTGCTATCGAGTGCCACTACAACCTACATCTTAAGGGCTACATTTTCCGCGGCTTCGCGTCTCACCACGCTATCTCAACGATATCGAGGCGATAAGCGTGGGCGCGTAGAATGAAGCTATCCGGTGGAAACTTAACCGCGTAACTGTGACTGGTTTTCGCCGGCACCCTGCAAACGGTTACAGTTCACGAGGGGTCGATTCTCGTGGGTTGATGATTCGCGAAGGGACGGCGACGTCGTCGTTGTCGTCGAAACAGGCAGCCTAGGTACCGTTGCAAAATCCTCCTCCATCCGAGAACGAACAGAAGAAGAAGGATAAGAAGAGGGATACGGAATAAAAGAGAGAGAGGCGAGATTTCAGCCTACACGAGGCGGCGGTATCTTCATCTGGTAATTATTCAGCGGGCCTCGTACGCGAGAGCCGCGGCACGTGCGTGGGAAGATCTGTTCGTGAAGGAAGAGGAAGAAGAAGCGGACGAACAATGCCGCGGGATTGAGACGGCGCGAGAGAAAGCACGGAACGAGCCCGTAATCTCTTCCTCGTGGAACGCTCGCGAGCTAGCGAGCTGCAACGCTTCTCCGCGCCGTGGCTTCTCGCTTCAATAGACCTCGTGGGGAACGTGCGAAAATCCGCAAAATCCCTCTCCCAGTGGCGCACGCTCGGCTACTGTGCCATACTTTGGAACAGTTTGCAAACGCGGCTTTGGATTTACGACTGCTAGACTGCTGATTTTTATACGGTATCATATTTTTACGTTACTTTCGCCCGAAAGTTTCCAACGCGTCTATCTACGTTCTTCTGATAGACAAACATATTGCGATTGCAAGCGTCGCTTGAAAATATTCTTCGCAGTCTGAATGCCGTAACAAAATCGTGTTAATAGCGGCATTGGAAATAAAATATTCGCTTGAGGAAGTCGTTGTTTCTTTCCAAGTTCTAACGCGCTTTAAATTTCCAAGCGGCTATGCATGTGCGTGACAATAGGGGAAGCTTCGTGAATGAAAAAGGAAAGGGATGACGAAGTAGGGTCTAATGTTAATTTTAAAATCGGGGTTGGTGTTCCTGTTACTCACACTGATTCAGTGTGATCGATGGCTCGAACTGTTTTGAATGCATAATGGTAGTAGTTATATTCTAAATAGAAACTGTTTCAGATGAGGGAAGAAAGAAAGAGATAAAGTAGGGTCTGACCTTAAAATTGATTAGGTTGATGGTTTATACCGTTTGAGTGTATAGTGACGTAGATTGTGTGCAGGTTAAATTATTCGTTAAATTCTGCATAGGATTGCGTTAAATATTTAAGGACGAAAAGAAGGAAAACGAAGAATTGGTACTTTCGATACCAACGATGTTTTCGTAGATGATCAAAATTCTAATTTTCCAGACAATGGATGTATTTAGTAAACGCTGAATAGCGTGGCAAAGAAGCAGAGAAAAAAGTAGTTAACGTGATTGGTAATCAAAGTCGGTCGACGTTGTGTAAGGAAATAGGTCTGTTCTCGAGCGTGCATCGTAATTTCGTGCATCGAGGGACCCGCATATTCCTGACCTACCACATCTTCCTGGTTTGAACAGCCGGTCGTTAACACCGCCCACCAACCAGGCTGTTTCTGGTTCAACCCGTTCTGTTCATTTCGATCATCGATGAGTAAAATCACCGACGTTCCAACAGTTACGACCGAGATAACGACCTGGGCTCATTCTCTTAACACTTGTATCTGTCCCGCCAAATGCGTTTCTACGAACGTACCGCGATAAAGAACAACAGGAAACGAGATTTGCCTCGTAAGATTTCTAGATCGCATCTTATCTCGCAGTCCTAGAAAATCGCTCGATCGAATACGAATGAATCGAAGACGCTAGAATACCAAAAATATTATATGATTTATAATACTTTTTAGCTTCGATTCGCTGAAACTACAAGGTAATCGCTTAATTTTAAATCACTCAGTATATTAATTTATTATAAATCACTGCGTAAGTAAATATTCCAAGTAAATATTCCAAATAATCGGAAACAGAGAAACGTTTCGTTGAATGATATCTCTTAAGATTATAGGTAACTGTAGGTACTGAAATACCGAAACTTGTACAATTTTTTATCAAATAACGGTAATGAAACCACGGAGAGTATCGATCGGTCCGACACAGGCAACTTCGGAACGCTGACCTACCGCACCTTCTTCCGGGTATAGCGACGATCGTTTTGCATCGCCCACGGATCAAGGACTTCTGGTTTCATCGGCACACCAGCGTCGCGTCGATCATCCGGGACGGGATGCTTCCTCGAGGGGGAAGCTGGATAAAAAAGGTGAACATACCACTTTGTCACCGGTGACACGCGGAATTTCGCATCGCTACGATCCAGAGAACGCTTAGACACGCTTTTAGACACGTCTCTAATTTATGTCAACTCTATCTCGTATAATATAGATTCGTACTGACGCGTTTACGAGTGAACACACCACTATTGATAAATTTTTTATCATCGTCAAACTTTAATCCTTCGTCTTATGATCTTTTATTTACTACTTCGATTTTTCGAGACCTCTTCTTTTTTTCTCCTTTTTTTTTTTCTTTATTTCTTGTCCAAGTAATTACAATCACCGCTAATAATACACTGTCGTATCCTGAATAATTCAAAATTATCAAGCGAGAGATTAATAGCATGCTCGTTAAGAGCGAATTTCAGAATATTGAAATATATCGTTGATAATACGTGGTCTTTCATGCAAAAATCTGCCTGTAAGATTTGAATAATGATTCGTGTCACGAAAGCAATGAAGTTTCGCATAATTAGAAGCTTCAGCTTCCCGCGTACTGCACGCCGTGTACAACGATGCACAGATAAGAGAAATATAGCAAAGTCATAAAAAACATCAGAGAACGAATACAATAGAACGTTTGAGTATGATTCATGTATCTCGTTACGTTCCTACATGCAAATCGTATGACTAAGACAAAACCGAAGACACGATTTTCTTGAGAAACTACGCGTCGCGTCGTCCACGCTGCTTATAACGCTCACAGCGAAAGCATTAATCCAAAACATCCGACTGTTAAACCTAATGAACACTAAACTCACACTATACGTACTTGAATTTTGCACGATGCCACAAGACTACACACAATCGTTGCTAAACTGACTACATCGTATGCCAAAGTTTCTAGTCATAGAAATCGTGCAAAATGAATGCAGGCAGTCTAGATGTTTCATAGAAGAGAGATTTTAGAATTTAATACGCTGTCAATCAATATCGATTCTCTAAATTTGATTTTGATTAAATATACAGGGTGGTTGGTAACTGGCGGTACAGGCGGAAGGGGGGTGATTCTTTTTTTTTTTGTAAATTTTTCATCGAGACAACGATTTTCTCGAAAACAAAGGCTCAAACGAAAAATTTTTATTCTATATTTTCGACTTCTTTTTTCGCGTACAATCACCCGCTTTCCGTTTGTACCACCAGTTATCAACCACCCTGTATATGTTTCTGCCACTCTTTTCAACGTTTGAAAAATATGAATAACATCAGTTAAACATAGGCGATTGTGTCATAATTTAAAAGCTCTTTTGATAAAAACGCCATAAAGAACGACGCTTTTCAATTTCAACGGTTTTCGACAAAGAAAAAAGTAAATTAAAAGGGTTAGAGAGAAGTAAAAAGAAAAACGGCTGGATAAATTAAATCGACTAATAAAAAATAAAATTCGCTAAGAATAGCTCTAGATAAAAATGCAAACAACATCACAATCTGCATAGTGAGTAAAAGGATGGTGGCATCGCGAGCTTATTTAGTATTCGCCGGGAAGGTTTCCTCACCGAGCGTTGAAATCACCGGTTCCCGGCCGTTCTCCGCGGCGTTATCGCGTCGCGATCGTTCCCTCCGCAGATCCATCGATTACGGAAGTTAGAAAGCGGTCCAGTCAGCGGGGACCGGCTACGAGGAGGCGAGTCGCGCTTCCAGAACGAACGCGGACGAATTTATTATCGTTGGAGCACGCGTTGATGCGCGCTGATGTTCAGCGC